ATCAGCATAGCAAGATATTGGGATATTTTAGTGGATCAATATTTTTTCCTCGTCTTTAGAAGTTTTTAAGTCTGTAAAAAAGAAGTTTTTGAGGAAGAAGAAGAAGTAGTATTTTATTTTTATTTTTTTTAGACTTTAGAAACTCAGAAGCTGATCAAATATCGGGTTAAATATCAGTGGGGAGGCCGATGTCCTATATTCAGTTTTAAGGCCGATACAGGCCGATACCGATAGGGGACCGATTATATCGTGCATCCCTAGTTTTTAAATAAATATTTCTTCTTTTAAAAATTGACACTTGTCACATCTGCTTTTATCATTACTGATCTAAAGAATCGAACAAAAAAAACAGGGAAAGGTTATACTGATATCAAAATAATGACTACTGACATAAAATCTGTAGCGGTTTTATCTTTAATAGGCACTCTTCTGTTTTTAAGACACGGTAAAGTGGGCTGAGGAGAAATTTCACCAACTGGTTTGCAAGCGATTCTAAATATTAAGCGACCACGTAGAAAAATCTGTCCGCAGTGATAGTCTGTTGGATTAGGTGAAAGGCCATGTCTTGGTAGGTGGCCGGTCATGCTATTCTGTATTCTTTTTCTGTGATTGATCAATTAAACTTTGTGTTTTTAGGCTTTAAATTCTCCACAACTTTATCCCTTAGGCACTTAACATGTCTCCTGTATCTTTGTCTTTATGTTGCTTTTTGTTCACTCATGTGTTAAACCACTGATGTCATTGCAGAAGAGCTGAATTTATACTGAGAAACAACTGAAGCACAGGAGGACTGTGTTACTCAGTTTCAGGGTAAAGGGGTTAAATACAAATACATACCAAACAAAACTGATTCAGTTTTTTTTCTATTATTATTTTCCTTTAAACTCTAATTTGTGTTAGCCAGTCACATTAAATCCAAATAAATGACCTTGAACTTTGGGGTTGCAACATCACAAAATGTGAAAAAGTTGAAGGGGTGTAAATGCTTTTGCCATGCAGTGACGTCAGTTTAAAAGTAATCTTCCAATCTTTAGGGAGATCAGAGGTATAAAAGGTCACTGAAACAGATAAGTGTTGATATTTACAAAGGAAATAATGTCGGCACCATAAACACCGGGACACCAGCAGGGAAATAGGACTGATGAGTGTTCTGCTACTACATGAAGCATGATGAGGGGGGATGGGGGAACATCACTTTAAAGTGTCGACTTACACCAGCAGTGACAGTAGTGCAAGAGGAGAAATTAGTAGGATGGTAACGAAAAAAAAATGAACCTGTAATCATGTTATAGACGATCTATGGAATAGTTCCTGTTTGTTGCCGTTTTTCTTAATGCATGTAGAGTCTTTAATCTAAAAGACTCTATCCAACAGGAAAACAAACAAAAACACTAGCTGAAAAACAAGCTCAGCCACTTCCTGTCCTTATGGAATCCCTCCCCTCTTATTTTCCCTGTCCTTTTTGACCCCAAACAGCTCGGCCCGCTCGCATCGCACCAGATTCCAACAACAAAACACTGAGAAGACATAAGAGATCTGTGGAACGGCTAAAAGTGTGCCGATACGTCAACATGACACAGGGGAGGCTTAGAAATAGGGCGGTGAAGACAGATCAATGAAAAAGCAGCTGTCTTTTTCTATAATAAGCTATAATCAAATATCAAGCAGCGAAGGGGGTGTGCTTCCTTCCGCTTGGAGCAGATTCTGATCACTCTGTCTCAAACAAAGTCCACAGGGGGACTGATAACAGTCATTTATATCCAGTTTTTACTTTCACTTTTTGACAACACGGAGTTATGTCCTATTTAAACATATTAAGGTCCACTTATAATGATTTGGTTTTACCAAGATGTTCAACATGTTCAAAGCACATAGCTTTTGCACATGGAGAACAAACCCAGTGATGTTTTTTTTTTTGTTTCTTTTTATGAAAAAAGCAGCCCAGCTTTGGTCAGAGGCACAATCAGCTGACAAAAGATAGGGCTACCCTTCTGGATTTAGCCTAAGTTAAATATCAGCTAATTTAGACAACAATGATAGCACTGACTACAGGCATATTTCTAATTTTTTAAATGTTTTGTTTTCCAAGAGTAATAAAACATTTTATCAAAGTGACAATCATATGACCCTAGCAAGGTTTTTAAAGTGCAGTTTAAAAAAATCAGAACTTCTAGGGAGACAAGAACTGCTACTGATAGACCTTTGCTTTTATCCCTCCACAAAACTAATTGCTGAAGAAAGTAAATGTTTTTTTTGTGTGTGTGTTTTTTTCAATATTAAAAGAAGAAAAAAAATGCATGGAGGAGAAATGTTACATTACCAACAGTGAGGTTTGGAGGTGAGAGTGTCATGGTGTGGGTTTAGAGAAAATATGAACATTCTTGACAGGATTCTGAAGATAAAACAACAGTCGGGTTTTTGTTAAGATAGACAACAGCTCTAAGTGAACACAATCAACGAGCAAAAGGTAAAAACTGAAAAATAATGATCCAAACTATCAGCTCTAAATGTTCATAGAAGAGACTTCCTGAATATTTGAGTTTTAAAAACACAGTTTGTTTTGAAGAAAGAGGTCGGAATCTTCCAATTGATCAATACCAGGGGTCTTCATAGTTTTCCAGGCCAAGGACCCCCAAACTGATGGCGAGATGGAGCGGGGACCCCTTAATTATATATATTGTATGAAATCTAGTATAAACATATGGAGTCATGTAACGAAAGTAATTTCTCCCTGGGATTATTAAAGTATTTCTGATTCCTCATTGATGGGACAGGTGTTGTGAATTAAATGGCTCCCAGCTTGAAAGACCTCCTGAATGTGTGCATTGATGACTGAAAGACATCTTCAGCCTTCATTTATCTGTTTACTACAGTGTGTTGAATTCATTTTAATGTGTATTTCAAGACATTTCAGTTAGTGGAAAAAAATTGCAGGGGGAAATATATATAAAAAAAAGTCTAATCGACCAAAACTTTCGTGACCCTCATGCAGTACCTCTAGGGACCCCTAGGGGTCGCGGACCCCCTGTTGAAGATCCCTGATAACATTTATAATTATTCATTTCACTTTATTACACATGATTTAATTTATACACACTTATGCACATTATTTGTACACATAGATCATGGGTTATGTTTCCTCTATACAGCTCGAATTTAATGTAACAAAATGTCTCTTAAGAAATATATCAACTTAAAAAAAAACACTTTCCCTTTGTTTCTACAGAATAATTGTTTTAGGCTACGTTCAATGACTCATTATCACTAACGTACAGCAGATATCCGCATGTATAAAAGAAAGGAGTGAAGGCAAAAGAGACAATGAAGGTAATTTATAATTATTATTACTGAGTTATTATAAAGTCACGACAGCGGTCGACAAAAACGCGACATCCCTTCGATGTTTAGTCAGACTGGTTTATTTCACTTATTTTATTAGCTGTATGCTTCAGTATTATTAAAAAAATAAATAAATTGAAACGCAACTGAGAGCCAGGACCTGATTTATTGCCAATATTTTACTTGCGGTCACGCTACTGCAAGTGCAAAGACTGAACCTCGAAAGGATGCTAACGCTACCTGCTAGCTTAGCTACCTGCAGCTTACCTGATGTCGGACCTGTCACATCCAGCTGCTTTTCAACCCACCGCCAATGGCTGGACAACGGCTGGAGACCCTCAGCGCTGTGCGAGGGAGGCGGCAGGAACAGTCGGCCGTGGACACTTTTCCCTCGGCTCTTTTACCCCCTTGCAAACTTTTTCTCCTCTTTCTTTATTAAACAAATATCACAGCGGCGCCTTTGACCCGCCCCATGCTAGCTCGCTAACTACTTTTAAGGCTAAGGTTGAGAGCAACAAGCGATTTTGACAGTTCGAGGTAAGGTCGACTTCTTGCCTCAATGGTGAGGTTATTGAGAAGGTCTAAACAACAATAACGAACCTATTATCCGTTATATAAAAAACAGGCCTCAGATGACATTTTTTTCTTTCTAATCAAAACATTTATTTTACATTTACGGATTTTACGCTGATATGTAATAGTTTCTAACGTGTAAGAAATCCTCCCCTCCCCCATGGTTAATATGGTACGATCCAAAGAAAACAAGGGAAAGGAAGGAGTGGAAGGCGCCTGTTACTAGGAGACAGGAGTGAATCTCCCTGGGGGGAAAGATGGGCCCTGTGATTTATGAACCTGTGTCGGTGTCCATGTCATAATACCCTCTTATGTCAAGTGAAAACACCTGTTTATATATATATATATATATATATATATATAT